TAATTTTGACACAAGGGGTCGCGCTTAACTTTTTTAATTTTATTTCAATATTTATTGTTTTTCAAACTATATTAGTAGACTTTATTGTATTTGTGGTGTATAAATGTTTTCTTAGTATAAAGTTGTATTATATTAATTTAAATTATATTACATACATATTTAAAATTCAAATATGACATATATGTCGGTGCCGTCTAAATGTCATCTTGATAACAAAAGTTAGTTATTGTCAGAAATAGTTAAAAATCATGTTAAAATATTAAAATTTACAAGTTATAGTTAAATATGTTTCACCTAATAGTACAGCGTAATGTTGATATGCGGGTCCAAAACAAAAGTGCCGTTATATTTTTCAGTTTTCGTTGTCAGCCGCGGAAGTTTCAGTGATTTTAGTGTTGTCGGATATTTTTTGTGAAATAGAAATATTGCATTTGGATTGCAAAACTAAAAGTGGAAGTTTTATTGCAATGTAGTAAGCGTTTGTCCATTTTATATTTTACTTTGTCATACCTACGACAAATATATATATTGAAATTTAACGAATTCGTTTTTTTAAATGTTAGAAAACAAGCCTGTAATCCTGTAAATTGACATAATTGTAATGTAATATATTCCATTTAAATGTAATATATTACTTTACAATTAAAAAAATTTAAATTTAAAAAATATATTAAAAATATATACAGGCATTAATTGAAATTTTTAGAGTGCGAACAAACACGAGAGGCGCTTTATTATTTACTTTCATTTCTTAACATGACAGATGAAGTTCTAAAGGGGGATGTTTTGTGCGTATTTTCATAAAGTTTTATATAAGCTGGACTTAAAACGTATAATGTATCTCTGCGTAGATTTATTTTTGTTCGTAGTAATTGTCTTTCTTAAGAATAGAGATATGAAATATCTCCTTCTTCTGTAATGTTTTTTTTCTAATGTGCCTAATACCTTTTGTGGAATAAAGTGTTTGTTTTACGATAAACTTGTTTTATTATAAATTACATGGGTCTTATTACAGTCAAAAATATATACTAGGAATCGTACAGGGTGAGTCAACGATAGAGTTCATTATCTGGTTTGTTGTCAGAATTTAGAAAAAATGTTATAGAAAAAAGGTTTATGGAAAAAAAAGTGAGTAGCTTTCAACAAAGTGGGGTAGATATACCGGTCTGGTCATCGAAACTGCGTGGTCTGTATTTTAGTGCATGCGATAGAGATTTATATTTAATAAATGACCGATTGACATGTCTGTCAATCTTGACATGTCTCTATATCGAGAGACAAACTAAAAAAGGGTCTACAGTGTTGCCGATTTTTACGTGTGTCGGAAAATGTGTGTAGAAAAAAATAAACTATTTTAAAAACTTTTATGTATATAGTCTGTCCAATGAGAAGATCCTTGACAGTGAGAGATGTGTCTGTCGTTTTAATTTCAAAGTAGTTTATTTTATTTTACAAAGAAATAAGTTGGTACAACTGGAACGCATTGCAGGATATATTTAAAATTTGATTGACAAGATGACAAGTGATTACTTCAAAATAATTGTAGAAAAAACTGTATAAATCGTATTAAAAAATACAAAAAAAAAATTATTTTATTTAATAAAAACGGTATGTGTTAATACAAAACAAACAAGAACAAGACACTACATACCAAAAAAATATAAAAAAGAACTATTATTTACTTTCAAGCTTTATGAAACTACCCTCAGTTATGATTATATTTATCAATATATATCGTGAAAGTTGTCGCAAATTTTTCATAGAAAAGAAAATACTAACAATAATCTCTATGTATATTCTGGATTCGGTAGTATTTGTTTACGACAATAAAAGTCTCTTTAAAGAACCAAAGTTAAAACATCAATACTCTACTAGAAATAGAGATATGTTACAAACCAACAAGAGCAACTACACGTATGTGCAGAAGAATGTGAAGCACAGCATTATAAAGATATATAATGCTTTCCCACTCTCAGTTACTGATTTACCTAGACCAAGATTACTGTTAACCCTAAAGAATTATCTATTAGACAAGGCATTTTATACCCTAGATGAATTCTATGCAGACAAGGATAAGCTGTTAATATAGTTTATTTGTAGTAAGTATTATTGTGTTTTCAATTTATTTTCTTGTTAAAAATTATATAAATATTGAAACTTGTAAATTATAGTTATGTAATACAGTATAAAGACTCTTCAGAAAAGTATTTTAGGAATCATGTTTATATTACGATACATTTAGTAGTATTTGAGTATTTTAGTATCTTGAGTTTTTTGTTAACATGTTCCACACCCATCTTGGGTCAATTTATGTAATTGTATTACTTGGAACTAATAAAGATTTATCTATCTATCTATCTATCTATAACTTATGTACAAATACAAATTTGTAATATTCCACAAGAATAAATAAAACAACATAGGTAAATAAAACAAACTATTTTATTAATAATAACACCTACCAAATTTTATACCTTAAAGGTTGATTAATTAACTTTAATCTTAATTTTTTTAAACCAGTACCTTTTGACATTATTTTTCTGCAGTACTAAAATCCATTATTTACCCATCGTGTGATGTCGATATTTACAACTACTCAGTTTTTAGTATGTGTTTAGTTTGATCTTCTACGATATACGAGATGCACTTGTCTATGACGAAATGGTATACAAACTTTATCGATGGCAACTTCATTGGTGTATAAAACTTGCTGTCTGGGCAGCGAGTATAAACCATAAACTGTGCAGTACAGTTAATTTTCACTCGATTTTTCCCTCCACTTGACTTCAAAAGACACATAACACACGTAATATGCACGAATCAACATGCATCATCTTCCAAAAAACGCAGGTTATTTGACAAAACTGATAAAAGTTAACACAAAATTCTAACCTATAATTTGACAAGACTTTGACAAAATGGGTCCAAAAATGACAAAAATCTAAAGGCAGTTCATACGCATCGGCGTCCGTTTGTCGTTCATCGTTCCGTCAAACCAATAAAATTGAAGCCACGATCTGTCATTTTTAAAATATAAACCAATAAAACTGGTTAAAAACAACAAGACACGACGCATGACGGATTTATATTTAAACCCATCCATAGATAACTTAAAAATTACTAGAAACTTTTTTTAGTAAAATAAATAGATTGGTATGGGACGTCACCTGCTTTTCTTCTGTCATCGTCTGTCGAAATCTTACCTGAGAAAAAAAACAGAGTATACTACCGAAATGAAGATAATAAATCTAAACTAAATATAATCTATTACAGAGCTCTATAGTAAAATGAGTAATTGTAAAAAACTGTAAAAAATAATGTTCCAACCCTAGATACAACATTTTTCGTAAACGCCTACTTGTGCGGTTTGAAATGTTGATGCAAAATCCGGCAATACCGCATAAAAGAAATGTATCAACCCAACTTTTATCTCTTTTTAATACATTTAATTTTACATTATCATCACTGTCTTACAATGTAAAATCCAAACCACGCAGTTTCGATTACCAGATCAGTATAACTACTAACAAGTTAAGTAATGTATTTTTTACCTTATTATGAAAATAAAAATAGATTATATTATATTTTTAGAAAGCTTATAACAAGACAATGTTGTAGTCATATTTCGAAAATAATACCTCCCAGCAATATACTTGTTACGCCACTGGATTCTTTGTGAAAAACTCTACCGGATACAATTTTCACCTTTTTGAAATATGATAACCAAGATACGAAGGAAGCCGAAAAATGCAACATTTTAGTATATGCCTTGCATTTCAAGAACTAAGGAAGCTACTAAGCTTTATTGCTTTTATAGCATAGTAATCTGAAAGTCTCATTTGTGTACTTTTACTCATAATCTGAGAAACAAAATTTGTATTGCATTGTACAGTTAATAGTAAACAAAGACAAAAATAAAGAATTTTTAATCTCTTTTCCTATTATTATATTTACCGTCTACTGTAACTTTTTAAAGCATTTAAATTAATTTATATTTAACCATTTACCCAGGGTTTTAATTTACCTAAAAAGCAATTATCTAGTTATAACTTATGAGAGTACGATGTTGGATTTATTTTACTCTACATAATAAAACTTTGTAGAATAATTAAATTCCAACACAGATAGCAGCTGAAGTTAAACTTTGATAATGAAACGATGTGGTCCTGGATACAGGGTGGTCTCAGATCGACATAACTAGACTTGTAAACTTTCATATTTTCTATCGTGGCAAAAAATTTAATCTGTATAAATAAAACAAAGTCAGATTAGTTACACTATTTAAAGCTGAAGAACGGCTGCACCGATTTTAACGATCTCAGCCAAATAACTATTAATATATCGGAAAAAATCACAAAAAAATACAGTTTAATTAGTAATAAATTAGATTTGAGATTTGGAATTCCGCCATATACAATGGGGAACTTACCTAAAAAAAAATATTATTAATTTTGATAGACAATGGAAAATAAATAGACAGGTATTTTTCTTTTTTTCGTACGTAGAATATTGACGGAAATATAAATCAAAAACTCGTAATATAAAACTAAAATATCAAAACGAATGACAATGTCAGGAAATAAACAAATAAATGTGACAACTTGACATTTTTTACAACAGAACTTCCACCTGAATCCTCAGCGGGAAATTTAAATTCCAGTTAGTCAGCCCGGCGCCGAATATGGCTCCATGGTTGACAACAATGAATTTAAAAATCGCGCCCTCGATTACGTAACTAAAAGTTTAATTGATATCAAATATAGAATATAAATTCAAAGGAAATTAGTGAGAAAATACTGAAAATAGCATAATATTCAAATCTATTATAGAAAGATATTGAAATATACAGAAAATTCTTGAATCAAAAGGTAAACAAATATGGGACACCCTGTATATTCTTCAACTTGTGATCTTTAGAGCGCAGCTTCATTTATCTGCACGTGGACGAACAGCAGCAACTGGTTGCTGCTCTTGAGGGTTAGTTGTGTTTGCACGTTCCTGCTAATCTTACCAACTCTCCTGCTGACATTGACCCTTAAAGGTAACGAACGAGAAACAATCCTCGCTTTTAACTGTTATTCAGTTATCTTGCCCTATTTTACTTACACGTCTCTTATTTGTTGAAATTCTGGTTTAAATTTATTATTCCCCATATATTTTAGAATATCTTAATTACAAATTATTTTTATTTTAAATAAATTACTTAAAACTTTAATTCAAACTCTATTTTGAAATTTTAATTTGATTTTCTAATTAATAAATAAATTGTTACATAGTTTACTGTCACTTTACTTTACTGTTGCTTTAACGACTTTTTAAAAATTAATAATTGTCAATCATTATTTATTTAAATGAACGTATTACATTTTATATAATTTTATACATTATATTTAACATTGTAATCAGACTTTTTTAAGCTCTATTTGAAAATAATAATGAATGAATAATAATTTTAAAAATACCTAATCCTAACACGATAAATTTTTCTTTTTTGTAATTATAAATTTATCACCCTTTCTGTAGCATTGAACTAAATAATTTTCTTTAACATTTTAAAATAGCATAAATATGACGTTAATTAAAATTGCATCAATAACGATCCATCAAAGAATGAAAACGACATTATATTACCACAGAAACGTTTTGTTTTTTAGGACTTTAAAATTCAGCCATATTTTCATGTAGTTTTATTTTTTTTAACGCTATGGAAATTGGCTGAAAAGTTTTAACTTTTTAGTTACATGGTCAAGAGTCTAGACTAATACATTTGCTATAACACTTTTACTCGTCAATTATTTTTTAAATAAAAAAAATCATATAAAATTTTCTATCGCGTTATAATATTGTTTTCATAACTTCTAGTGATCTGACACTCATTTTATTAAATTATACAGAAACGAAGTTCCGACCTATATAACTTCTTTCAACATAAATAATGAAGTTTAAATCGATTTTCCACTTTGGATATAAAGGTTTTAAGCCTTTTTGTCCTTTTCTCCAAAAGTTTTCGTATTTTGAACTCAACCTAAAAGGACCTATAACGGTAGGTAAACAAATACATACTATAGAGGCTAATTTTACCTGACTGGCTTTCAAGCTGTTTTAAACTTGAAGCTACTACCCTTGATTACGTAGGCTACTACTATAAAAAGTTTAAAATAGGTCCACGTTTTTAAAATGCCTAATTATTTGAACTTCATTTTCACTATAAATATAACTAATACATCAGACTCTTTCTTATTAAATTTGCAAAAAACAGAATTTTAAAACTAAATTTATATACAGGGTAGCTCATTAGTGCGAGGAAGTAACCAAACCTAACCAAATTTTCAATTTTTTTTGCGAAAAAACCTCATAGACGTGTTTCTGGGGTCGAAATATATCACTCCTAAAAATATTTCCACTTATTTAAGACTCATCACCCTACACAGGGTAGTCCGAACTGTATTCCGGAAACTTCGGCAACATATTCTACAGATAAAAATAAGTAAAAAAGTCTTTTTTTCTAATAATTTCTGAAGTAACGTTAATATTTGGATAAAAATTGGTGTCTGGGAGTTTTTTGACATGAAAAACTTGATTTTGATGTCAATATGACTCCTATTTGTGGGGGGCGCCATCTACATGTGTTTTAACTGATTTGAAGAGTAGTAACTTCTCGTCCGTACCTGTATAAGACTAATGAGTAAGGAAATATACATTTCCGCGACTTTCTACGTAAAAAATGTCTCTTGGTAAATCTCGCTACGAGCAACCGTTCTCAAAATATTTAGAATGGAAATAGTCAAAACATGTATTTATTGACAAAAAATAAACATTGAGTAGATAGTTATTTGACTGAAATAATAAATTTGGGAAGTTTTCATTTTTTTAAATTAATCATAAATTCTTCTACGAAAACATGATGATAAAACAGTTTCTGTAGAACTTTTGGCACAAAAACATTTCACATCTATGATTTCAGTGTGTGACAAAACTTTCAAGATTTTGTCCATTATCATGGTAGTGTGGCCTTTATATAATTTTTATAATTAAAATAATTTATTGAGCGGTAGGCAGAACTTGGATTAATGAGAGCACCGTCTTTTCCGAGCGTAAATATAGTTTATCGTTTATATATATAAAAAAAACAAAATATAGCCAGCTAATAATAGAAATTAAGGCATCGCACTTTTATGGTAAGGGTTCTTTCTGAATTAAGTTACTATAAACTATATTGCCACTTACCTTATTACGTCAACATCCATCAGCAATACATCAACAACAAGAACCTGTCGAAGATTTCATTGATCCCCTTGTAGATCTACCTCTTCGGTCTTGGACTCATACTTTGGATTGAACCACTCGACCGGTTATCACAGTGTTCTTTTAAATAACTTAATATTTTAGTGATTAGGTAAAATAAAGAAATAAAATGCCGATTTTTCACAACACCTAACTATATTTAATATAAAGAAATAAATAAATAAAAAAATAAAGAAAAATATTTAACAACAAAACATTTATAATTAATGAAAAAGAAAGAAATTGAATCAAAAATAATTAATGACAATTAGAGAATTGAAATTCAAACTCAGAGATAATAAAGTTAAAAAAAATACAAAATATTCTTCTTATTAGTCCAATTTAAATTATCTACAATTAGCATACACTTTCAAATCTCTCTTGGAATTATCGTTGGCAGAAAATTAATATGTTAAAAAAATATTCACTGAACAATTAAATTTAAATTAGAATTTAATAAAAAGAACAATTGCAAAATAATCACTTATGCAATGACATCTAAATTTTACTAAAGCTTTTAGAACAAACAGAAAGTCTTAAATCATTAATAAAGAAAAGTATAAGAGAAAATCCAAAAACAACAATTAAAATACTTTAAGCATGAATAGTTTAGAATTTCCTAACTTGAGAATTTATTTGAGACAATCTTTAGATAGAGAACTTACTAAAACAATTAAAAAGACCACTGGATAATATAAGATCTACACGAGTAAATTCGACCGTCTAATTTAAAAGTCAGTACCGAACTGATCCAAAAATCTATTTTCCTAAACCTCGAAATATTTAAAATGGGCGGGTAAAAAGAATAGGGAACCACCAAAAGCCGAGCCATTCTCAAATCCTCTCCGGGTTCGCTTTTCAGGAACCGTCTGATTGGTCTGAGAAAACCTCAACTACCCTGTCGTTCCCGGTCTAGTTGGCCCTACTTGTCATAGATGTCGTTACTATGACCATTTCTACGTTATTTTCCAAATTATTCCTAATATCCGTGTAAATATTATAATTACTGTAAACACAATTACACATGATTAAATCTAACCCTAACTAAAGTATATTTTAAGGTCTGTCCTTAAAAAACCCAAACAAATCACATTTATAATTTGATTTCATTAGATTTCGCTGTTTTATCTTATATGTTTATTTATTTCACATAATTTTGGATATTTTGGATAAAAAAGGAGGACAGTCCTTAATTTTCAGAATATCATTACGTGAACTTTACTTTAATATTTAAATTAACAATTATACTTGTTTTTATCCAAAATCTGTTTGTATTGGGCCCGTGGAGGTCTATCGTGAGGAAGAGTGTCGTCTTAGAGTTTTATTGCTTTCTAGGGGTTTTGCTTATATAATCTCGAAGTTAAAATTTAGGGTTTTACAGTTTTAATGATTGATGCTAGTCGTTTCTAGCTGTTTCAAAGCAAATATTATATTAATTTATGGACGCGGGATTTTAAACCTAACAGAAAAATATTTAGTTTTTCCCAGAGAAACGGGTCCTTCATTCTAAACAGTTTTTACGATCTTCTGAAAAAATACCAATTTAAGGGCGGAAACATATGACAAAGTTTTAACAAGCTTGGTTTGTTGTCTGCTCTAAAATATTCCATTACAAGTGTAATAACTATTTAGTCAAAGCATATTTAATTTATGTCAATGATGGTAGGTATTGATAATTTCGATTCCGTGCCTTTTTTACCTAAAAGACGTCGTACATGTATATTTTTTTACTCAGTAATTTTATACAGGTACGGACAAAAAGTTATTACTCTTCAAAACAGATAAAAAATATGTACGTGGCGCTCTCTACAAGTAGGAGTCATATTGACATCAAAATCAAATTTTTTATATCAAAAAACTTCCAGATACCAATTTTCATCCAAATATTGATGTTACTTAAGTTAAATTATTTGAAAAAAAAACGAAATAAAAATGAAACTTCTACACCCTGTATTTCCGAAACTAAGCATTTTAGGACAGACATTTATACAAACTTTTTTACTTATTTTTATCTGCAGAATATGCTGCCGAAGTTTCCGGAATACAGTTCGGACCACCCTGTATAATAAAAGTTCAAATATACAAAATTTAATTAATAGTTATAATTGCTCGAGATATCCTACAACCACAGAAAATATTCTAATAAATATATAAGGTAAGATGATGTTACAAACATGATGTATTTTAATATAATCATACGATTTCTAAAAGTATATTCGTATTATCGTACCTAACTGTCTACTAAAATTAGATATATTTTATTGTAGTTTTCAGTTACATAGGCTGTAACACAAAACGAGAATGATTTAAATGTTTTTTTTTATTGATTTTTAGTTAAAAGCCTAAAGCCCCATACTCACACTTCGCTACTTCACCTCGTTCCTTCCTCGCATCCCTTCGTCTAAAACTCATATATTTACTATGGGAAAATGTCGATTTTATGCGACTGTGTGTTCCTTCCTCCTTCGTCAAAACGCTACTTCGTCCGTTTACTTCCTCGAAACGCTCCTTCCACGTACTGTCGGTTTTTGGAGGAAGTAGCAAAGGAATTATCACGAACACAAAAAAATATTAAAATATATAAATCGGTCTTGGATTTCATTGGTAGTTGATTTCTTGATTTGGCAGTATGTCTGTACAGGGTGACCCATTTTCGTGTGTTTTGCAGGGTTTGTTTTGCAGGGTTTGTTTTGCAGGGTCGTTTATGAGTCGAAATACAAAGATGCGGTTTTCACATTACGCTGTTACTTTTATATG